AAGATGGCTACAGGGAAAACAAGCACCCTCACAATGGGGAAATGAACTCATTTTCTTACAGGTTTCCTGCCTTTCTGTTTTTTATGTCTTGATTTCAAAGCCAAACTTGTTTCTTTTTTTTTCTATTTTTTTTCTAAACCAAATTTGGATGCCATATTCATCCATTTCATGAGAACCAAAACACATTAGCAATCATCAGGATCTGGTTATAAACTAACAACTTAGTCATCTATCTGTAGGTTTCCCAGACCACCACATTGCTAGCTTCCAACTTTTTTTCTAAACTTTACTTAACATTGTTTCCAGTAGAGGTTTTTTTAGTTGCAAAATTTTTCAAAGATATCTCTATGTAGCAATCACTTGCAATTTAAAAGAAAAAAAAAGTTTATAAATTTTGGTTAAAGGCAGATGACTAGAACTCTTAAATAGATTTTAAAATATGCTAAAAGACTATAGACACTAAGAAAATTCATAAATGAAGTACAATGTTCTAAAATATTTGCAGCCAAATGGAATCTCTTTGTTCCACTATTGCCAGACAAAATTGGCTTTCCTACAGAGACCAACACCCCAACAGCAATTTCATTATAAGCGTGCTGATAGGCAATCTGTGTTTTCTTTTTAATCAAAATAACAGGCCTACAGCCTAAACTTCCTTATAATAAAGTCTTTATCTACTTTAAATTCCTCCCTTTCTCCAAATGAATACCTGAATCCTTCATTTTTTTTTTTTTACTTTCAGGTTATTGATGTGTTTTGTTTTCACACTGCTTACATTTACAGATTACACTGGCTTGTGAGAGATCTTTGACAGTGATCTCACACAAAAGTTCATAAAATATTTCACACCTGGACTGCCCCTTCTCTATTTGTGTTATTTTTTTAATTAAGAGAAATCTATTTTCTCTCCTTCTAGGATCTATTCATTTCATTACTATAAGGAACTGAAGGTGAAAGTAAATTTTACCTACTAAAGTCTTCTGGACTTGTCTAGAGCAGAAGGGTCAAACTCCCCAGGGGGTCTGAACCATATTAAAATGTAACTGGGAAATGTTTAACAAAATAAATAAAAACAACACAGATATTGCTAATTTTTGGTTTTTTAAATCAGCATGCAGCCCCAGGGATCCATTTCTACCCAATGGCCTCTACAGAGGAGGGAAATGAGGGGATTAGGACAGCCTAGTTGTTAATTGTGGGAATTGAATGAACTACAGTCTTGTCTTGTGACTCAATTCTGGAGCTAGCTCAGTTCCCTTTCTATTCAATTACGGGTTTAATCCAACTTCTATCTTGTAAGAAAACTTTATTCAACCACAAGAACTAGGAGAAAACTTGAGTGTACTGTTTTAATTTTATTGTGGCTGGGAAGCTAGACCACTTCTACTTGTTATTTAGAGACCCTTAACTAAGGACCCAGGTTATGATGTTCAGAAACCCAGTCAGACCAAAGATCGATGCAAGGAGTTTTCTCACAATTGTACATCTCAAGCAACCCATATGTCTTTTCTGAAAACTGGCCCATATGTGCAGACATTTGAGGGGAGTGGGACATAGCTTTTTCTGATTTCAGGGAATTACACCTGTCCACTCTCCCTCTCCCAACTTGTAAAGTCCCTAATTTTTCCTCCAACTAGAAATCAGATTACCTAAAGTTGTATCCTGATTTTAATTAATATGTTTTTAATGTATAAAAGAATGTCTCCCCATGTATTCAGAGTCCAAGCCAATGCTGAGGAAGGAGACTGATCCCGATTTGTTGGGCAACTGGCATTCATTGCTTAATAAATCAATATGCTCAGATGGGCCGAACCTTTGTTTCCTCAGTCATTTCCTCTTTCACTAGCGACACAGAGGTTAAATGACTTGCCAAGGGTCACAAAGCCAGCATGTGTCAGAAGCAGGACTGGAATCCAAATTTCTGGCCTCCCAAGGCAGCTCTCATTATACCACCAAAAGATTCTAAAAACTAAAGCTATCCAAGGAGTAAGTTCTTGCTGCTTCTCAACTTTTGTGATTGAAGTGAGCAGTCTAGTTTGCTATCTTCCACGCTAAGAAAAAGCTAGTAGCCAATTAAATTAATCTTTATATCCACTAGGTTAATTGTTACATAAAGATACTTAAACTAGTAAAACTATAGTTAACTTATCATTGAAAAAGAATGCAATTTCTACTTGGGTGACTTTTTATAAAGACAACTATAGAACTTTTCAATCACCCTTTTTTTTTTATGCTGACTTAAGATAGAAAAAAATGGGGGGTAGAGGAGGAGAAGTGGGCTTACTGCAATGCCACAAGAATAAACACAAAGTCAGTCAAATATTTTAGCATATTTCCCTGGCAAAATATAAATGAAAGCTATGAAAGGAATACTCCATTGTCTGCAGCCACCCACCTTAACAGCTTAATTATACCTAGAGTTTTCTAAATGAACCCACAAGCCTCACTTTCCAAGGTAACAATGACCACTGACCCCCCTCAAGTACAAAAGAATTTAATTCTTATAATCTACTTTGAACGAACACTCTTTAGAGTGACTTGGGGGAAAAAGTATTTTCTTTTAACTAAGTTGATTAACCCATTGATCACATCTGGAAACAAGTCAATGTCTAGAATGCCAAACAAACTGATTACATAAGCTTTAAAAAAATTCCAACTGAATAACCTACTGACAGTGGGTTACAAATCTTAGTAGTATCTTTATATATAAAGAACATGGTCTTAATGCGAACAAAAGATCATGAATAGTTCTCCTTTATGAAAAGAGAAAAAAAACACAAGACCATTGCACTAGCAGTCAGACATGAGTTCAAATCCTAATTCTTTTGGATTCGAATCCACTACTAAACTCGTGACTTTGGGCAAGTCAATCTCTCTGGGCCTCAGTCTACTCATTTGGAAAATGAGGGTGTTTGAGCAGATGATCTCTAAGGTCCCTTCCAGCTCTTAGATCCTGAAATAAGTATTTTAATTCCAAAGTCCAAAAATTGGACTTTAAGTTCAACACAATTGTTTTACCTTTTCCCCAAATAATGTCAGTCCTTTAGCTTTTGCTTAAAAAAAAAAAGTTCTTACTGATAGAAAAATTAGGTTTCTGGGCAATAAAGCAGAAGTTGCACCACAAATAGTTCTGAAGAAACAGAAAGTGAGTGGGAAGAAAGACTAGGGAAATTAAGAATGACCAAGACAATAAAGTCTAGAGGTATGGACGGTCAACCACAGTCAGAATTTATTTTATCTTCTCTCCAGCTTTAAAGAGTTGTGGCTCAGTTAAGGCTGATGGTTCATAAGTCACCATTAGTCAATGACCCAAGAGTACCAACAAAATCAATGACAGTAAGATTATAAACAAAAAGAGAGCATCAGGGTAGAAATTTCAAATCCCCAATGTGTGGAGTTCATTAAAAGACTGTCCTTTGCTTCAAGAAGTGATAGCCATTTAAAACAAAAGAAAGAACATCAGAATTCAAACACTAGAGTATAGTAGTCCTTGAGGTAACTGTTGGTTGTTGGGCTAAGCAATAAGCAGTTATGTCAACTGTTTATACAAAATGTCCCTGAAAATTATATCCCACCCTCCCTTAGCAACTAAACAATCATCATAAAACATTTGTCACCATTGCTGTCAGCCAATAATCTCAAATTTTCAACAATTTACCAACAAGCAGGAGCCACCAAGAAGACATTTTGATGAATTGATATCGTCCCCAAAGTACCGATGGTGTCTCAATTAGGATCCTACAATTTTGAAGTCAACATTCAGGGCTTTCACTTTTACTTTCCTTCCTTCTCCCTCTCCCCTCTCCCCACAAAGAGACCCCTCCCAAATCAATCAACAAAAACTGAATGAGATCCTAGGCTGTGCTGGGCTCTGAGGAATGTAAAGTTACTTCAACCCTAATTAGCTTATAATCAAGCTGAGACAAAGAATAAAGATAAGAAGTTAAGCTTGAACTGAGAGAATTAATTCTTATTTGATCCAGATCAGATTCCAAGTTATTTATTTGGAAAGATGTGGTTTGTCTTTTGTTTTTTGTTTTTTTAAACAGTGTCTTAAGAAAATTACTTAAAAAAAATTTTTAAAAAGAAGAAAATTACTTTTCCTGACCTTTCAGAAACCTTTGGAGGGTTTAGCCTGTTTTTTTTTAAACAAACACCAACTGTAGGAAACCCAAAAACTTCCTCAAAGAAATATGAAAACAGCTTGCCATATATATTGCCATCTCCTTAACATGTCATCTCATTTTTTTCTCCCGAACACACAGGGCATCCAAGCCAAAGACAAGTCCTGAGAGCCTACCCCTAGAGTTGGAAAGGACCTCAAGGGGCCATCTAATCCAGCATCCTCCTCGATTTCCTAGAGGAAACGAATTTGAGAACTGACTCTGGAGCAAAAGGGACCACATTGTCAATAACACACTGTTACTGGACTGAGGAGGATAGAGCTGGAATCGGGAAGACCTGAGTTCAAATCTTGCCTCAGATCCTCACTAGCTGGCCAGGTCCTCTGTTTGCCACAGATTTTTCATCTGTAAAATGGAGATTAACAACAGCAACTACTTCGGATTCATCCACCTCCCAGGGCTGTGGCGAGGCTCAAAGACAGCACTCTGCACAAACAAGATAAATGAGATAATGTAAAGCGCTTTGCAAGCCTTACAAGCGCTACTGTTATTAACATTATCTACCTTAGAATGAATGTGGGTAAGAAATTAACCTTTGGAGCACCGAGGGAAGAGGAAATGCCTACGGGAGAAACACAATCGGGAGCAAGTAAAGAAGGAAAGAGAACGGCGGGGAGGGGAGGGCACCCGGCCCCACTCGAACTCGGGGGCCCCCGGAGGAGCGGCTCGAGGGGCGCCCCCGAGGAGCGAGGCGGAAGCAGACAAGGGGGAGGGGCGCGCGCGGCCCCGGGCTGGGGGCTCGGAGCTAACGGGAGCCGGCAGCCCGCGCGGCACCGCCGCGCTCCGCTCCGCTCCCCCCGCCCCGCGCTCCCCGACCTGTCCTCGCTGGCCGTGATCACGCCGTCCTCCTTGGGGATGAGGAGCGCCGCGGTGACGGCGTCCTGGTGGCCCTCGATCTTGTTGAGCAGGACCGGGCGGCTGCTCTGCGGCCGCGAGTGGATTTCCGCCGCCATCTTCGCGGCGGCGGCGGCGGCGGCGGCGTCGGGAGCTACGGGAGCTACGGGAGCGTCGGCAGCGTCGGGAATGACGGCGGCGAGCTCCGCTCCTCCCGCCGACCGCCCGTCAGCTGACAGCCGGAGATCCTCGGGCAGTATACCTGCGAATAGCGCCGCGCCCGCCTGCCGTATTGTCTGGGGGCGCCGCGCCTCGGCCAAAAGGAGGAGGGGCTCCCGAGCTGCGGCCCGGGCCCTTCCGGGCAGAATGTTCAGAAAGCTGGCGTGGGAATGGGCTGTCAGTTCCCCTCCCGAAAAATTAATGCGGAAAAATGCAGGCGGCCCAAATAGGGCAACTTCGTTACCACTGTATTACATTCAATTTATGCCCTTTTAAAGTAACAAGCCGAATATTTCCCCCGAGCCCCAATCTAGGTTCTTAAAAAACGAGTATTTGGGGCAGTGGATAGAGCACCGGCACTGAAGTCAGGAGGACCTGAGTTCAAATGCGACCTCAAACCAAACACTTGACACTTACTAGCTGTGTGACCCTGGGCAAGTCACTTAATGCCAATTGCCTTCAAAAAAAAAATTAGTATTTGTCAAAGGAGATCTTGTATAGGCGGAAGAGGGAGTGAATCACTGGGTAATAATAACTATGCAAAAAACTGTTTTTAATAGCCCAGAAGGAGGCACAATTTTATTACTACCTTTTTACATTTTATATGTTCTTTCTAAGTAAACAAATTATATGTTTCCACTAGCCTCTTAATCTAGGTTCTTAAGAAAACTGGCATTTTTGTTTTTTTTTTTTAAACTAGTATTTTTCAAAGGAGACTTTGTAGGTAAGAGAGAGAAGGAGTTACTGGATAATAATAGATATGCTAAAAAAAATGCTTTAAATACATTAAAAAAAGTTCAGAAGGGACACAAACTGGGCAACGTTGTTGCTACCTACTATTTTATCATATTTAATATGATAAAATTTGAAAAAAATGTTGGCCCTAAACCCCACCCACTCAAATCTAGGATCTTCAGAAAGCTAGTACTGTCAAGGAAGGGCTTGATGTGGGGTTTAGAGGTGGGAGAGGAGAGTGTTACTGGGTAACAATAAGTATGCAAAAAAAAATCAATAAAACATTTTTTAATACAGAAAAGTTCAGAAAGGCCCACAAAAAGAACGATTTGGTAATTAACTTATTAAAGCTAACATGCCATTAAAAAATGTGGATCAGGTTCACACTTTCATATTCAAAGCTCTTTTTGTTTTTTGCTTATTGACAAGTTTGTGTTTTGGCACTGGGTAATAGAGAAATTGATCAGTGGAACAGATTGGATACACAATATACAGAAGCAAATGAGCGCAATAACTTAGTGTTTGATAAGCCCGATGATCCCAGTCATTTAGTAAGGCAAGAATTCATTATTCAACAAACACGTTTGGAAAAACTGGAAAGCTGTCTAGCAAACATAAACCAGCATCTCACACTATATACCAGCATAAGCTCAAGATGGGTGTATGATTTAGCCATAAAGGGTGATATCATTAGCAAATTAATGGAACTTGGAAAAAAATTACTGTTCAGATCTATGGAAAGGGGAAGAGTTCATGACCAAACAAGAGATAGAGAGGCTCAGGGGAGATAAAAATAGATGAATTTGATAATACTAGATTTAAAAGGTTATGCACAAACAAAAACCAATGTCATGAAAATTAGAAGAGAAGCAGGAAAAAAATCTTTGCAGCAAGTTTCTCTAATAAAGGTCTCATATTTAAGATACATAGGGAACTGATCAAATTTACAAGAATAAGAATTAATTCCACAAATTAATGGTCAAAGGATGTGAACAGAGTTTTCAGAGGAAGAAATCCAAACTCTCAGTAACCATGAAAAATGCTCTAAATTGTTAATAATTAGAGACATGGAAATTCAAACTTCATACATGTCAGATTGACTAAAATGTCATAAAGGAAAATGACAAATGTTGGAGGGGATGTGGGAAAACAGGTACACTAATACATTATTGGTAGAGTTGTGAACTAATTCAACTATTCTGGTTTTTTGTTTTGTTTTTTTTGTGAGGCAATCAGGGTTAAGTGACTTGCCCAAGGTCACACAGCTAGTACATGTCAAGTGTTTGGTCTGAGGCCACATTTGAACTCAGGTCCTCCTGACTTCAGGGCCGGTACTCTAGCCACTGCACCACCTAGCTGCCCCTTAATTCAACTATTCTGAAAAGCAATTGGGATCTAAGCTGAAAAAGCTATTAAACTGTGTATACTCTTTGTTGAGGTTTAGAGGTTTAGGGGTGCTAGGACCCCAAAATCACAACACACCCGTCCTGCCTGAATGAATTTGACCCAAGCCTTCTTTCAGCCAAAGACATGGTTTATTAGAACATTGATCAGGGAAGGATGAAATTTAAACAATCCGCCACATCTAAGCATTAGTATTGGTAATGCAAGCAGGCCAGATCTTAAGGATCTAAGCCCTTGACTAGACTCTTGAGGAATCTGAGCACCTTAATGGAGGTCAGATAAACCTTATATACATAAAAACTATGGGAGGGATGTAGGAGTGGCCAAGTAGTCTGGGGTGAGGATCTGGATGGGAGTAGCCAGTAAGCTGGGGTGACTGTGAGGTTACAGAGTACCAGGGACCTGGACCACGTGGCCAAGAGAGAATGGAGCCTATACAGGATTAAGGGTGGGAACAGGGAGGGGGGCGAGGTGCCATAGGGAGGTAAGAGAAAGGAGGGCTAGGCTAGGTTAAGAGTAAAAAAGAATTGGGAGATTGGGCGAATGAAAGGCCAGTTGATAGGATTATAGTCTCAGGTGAACTCCAAAGATTTGGCCCTGTGGGAAAGTCCAGGGCTTTCCTTTTTGGGGTCCAGATCCCAAAGACATGGTCTTTTCCTTTTAAAGGTTCAGATTCCATCCCCATCCCCATCACCCCACTGCTGCTATACCCCCAAAGAGCTCAAAAGAAGAAAAGGATCCATATTTACAAAAAATATTGGTAGCAGTTCATTTCATGGTGGCAAAGAATTGGAAAACAAGGGGATGCTGATCACTTGGGAAATGCTGGAGCAAGTTATGGTGTGTTCTATGCTGTAAGAAATAATGAAGGGAATGGTTTCAGAAAAACCTGGAAAGCCTTGTATGAACTCATGCAGAGTAAAGTGAGCAGAACCAAGAGAACAATTTTTACAGTAACAGCAATATTGTAAAGAAAATCAATTTCGTAAGACTTAGTAACTGATCAACTCAATGATCAACTACATTTCCAAAGGATTCATGATTAAACATGCTATCCACTTCCAGAGAGAAAACTACTGGACTCAGAATACAGATTGAAGCATCTTTTCCGCTCTTTTTCTTTATATTTTTGGACAAGGCTAAAGTAGGGATTTATTTTGCATAGTTATACGTATTTTTGAGGGGTTTTGTTTTTCTTGCCTTCTCAATGGGTAGGGGAAGTGGAATAAGGAGAGAATTAGGAATTGAAAATAATTAAAATTGAAATATTGTAAAAAAGGAAACAAAAATAAAGGTTTGTGTTTATTGATGATTGTGAAGTTTATAATAAAATTAAATTAAAGCATTTATGGTTTTTTGCATTTGGTATTTCATTTCTGTAACTAGGAAGGCCTTGCATTGACAATTAACCCCTAAATATCCCTTTGCATTGTTTTATACAATGAAATCTTGGTGTTTGGTTCATTTCCTGTTTGGTTACTTAACCTGACTTGCAAGGATCTCTTGGAAAAGGAACTTGAATTCATTCTGCCTTTGTAACATCTGGGTATGTAGCTAACCATTAAATTCACAGTAAACATACTTGAGTTCCCAGAACAATTATTTATCTTCAGAGTGGCTAAATGGATTTGGGGGTAGGGGATGAGAGAGGCTTTAATTTCTTTTTTTAATCAAGCATCTGTGTTGAATTCAATTTTTTTCTGTAATTATCTTTGTACTCCTGTTTGGCTCCCCCTCTAAACCTAAATCAAAGAAGAGTTCTCTAACTTTCTGTGGATAAACAGAGAGGGAGAAAAATGCTTTGGGGCCAATTCATTCTTTGGTGATATTTCAGAATTAAAAAAGTTAGAATTACAAGAAAATCTGTTAGACCTCAATCTTAATCATCAATAGTATATTAATTGCTTATTCTGGCTAGGCACTGGGGATGCAGAGACCAAAAATGGAAATGTTGAGGTTTAGGGGTGCTGAGACCCCAAAATCACAACACTCAAGACCCAAGCCTTGTTTCAGGCAAAGACAAGGTTTATTAGAACACCCATCATATTGGGCAGACTCTTAAAGAGTCTGAATGTTAGTGAACCATTGGCTAGATTATAAGAATCTGAGCCCTTTAATGAAGACAAGATGGAACTTATATACAGAAAGACTATGGGAGGGATCTAGGAGTGGCCAAGTAGTCTATGAGGTAATAGAATTCCAAGGACCTGGACCACAGGGCCAAGGGAGAATGGAGCCTAGCTAGGAGTAAGGGTGGGAAGTTGCCAGGGGCCGTGGGGAGGGAAGACAATGGAGGGCTAGGCTAGGTTAAGAGTAACAGAATTGGGAGATTGGGCATAGCTACAATGAAAGGCCACTTGATGGGATTATAGCCAGATCTGGCCAGGTGGGAAAGTCTAGGGTTTTTCCTTTCTGAAGTCTAGATCCCATCCTCATCAGAAACACTTACCCTCAAGCACCTTAGATGGGAGGAATTCATATTTTATCAGAGATCAAGCCTAACACTCACTTTTAATAATTAAGACACTGAGAAGGAAACTCATAAACTCGTAGATTTCAAGCCGGAAAGGATTTTAAAGATTATCTAATATAATCCCTCATTTTACAGATAAAAAGACTGGCCCCAAAAGATTGCCACTTTTTCTTTGGAAGAAATCTATGAAAGCTGATTTGAACCCACGTCAGCTATTGGAGAGATGGGATAAGAGCCCAGGTCATCTGACTCCAAATATAGCCCCTTACACAACACCAAGCTGCTTCAA